CCTATCACAGAGCGGTGTGTGGGCGGAGACAGCCCGCCCTGTCACTGGAGGTTGAGCTCTCCTCCATGCACCGCCCCGCTCAGCCTCCTGTGACAGCGTGCCGGAGAGCGGGAACAAACACTCAGCGATTAGTGACCGCTGAGTGTTTGTACATAATTGAGGACATAGTATGGTTACTATATCCTCAATTAGGAATGAATGGGAAGTCATCCACATTACCTCCTGTTCATTCATGATTGTGGTTATAGTAAACATACTATGTTCTCATGTTATGAATGAACAGGAACACTCAGTATAGAGGATTCCTGTTCATTGATAACAGGGGATACAGAAAAAGAGATAGAAAAAGAGATTGAGGACAAAAAGTCCTCTATTTCAAAAGGGAAATATCAGGGGTCTGTTTAGACCCCTAATATTTCCCGAAGGCCCTAAAAGTAAAGTAAAAAATAAAAATATTTAATAAAAAAATTGAAACATTTGAAAAAATTAAAATAAAAAACATTTTTGGTTTCGGTTTTCGGCCTGACAATTTTTTTTATTTCGGTTTTGTTACGGTTTTGAAATTTCTATTTCGATGCACCTCTAGTCAGAACGCTTCCATCCAAATTTCTTTCTGTTGGGCATTTAACCTATACATTGGTATCGTTAGATTATAAACTCCTTTGTCAGGGACTGAAGGGAATGGTTCTGTTTTCACTGCAGAGCATTTGCACTGTAAAAAATGTATTAAAGTTTGAGCTTTATCTGTGTATTTAGTTGTTTGCCTGGAGTTCTAATTAATTATATATTTTTATAATAGATATGAGTTGGTTAGTAGTAGTTATGTTGTTCTGTAATGCTGAAGATGTTTCACCACTCATCCAAGTAGATTCCTCAGTTCTAACCAGTGTTGTTAACATATTGCAGCATTTACAACGATCATCCATTACATTATGACCACCCGCCTGATATTGATTAGGTCACCCTTTTGCTGACCCATCGAGGAATGGACTCCACTAGACCTGAGTTATCTGGCACCAAGCCATCAGTAGTAGATCCTTTGAGTTGAGTCCCGTAAGTTGCGAGGTGGGGCCTCCCTGGATTGGACTTATTTTTCTTGCACTTAAGTTGAGATCTGGAGAATTTGGAGTTCAAGTTAACACCTCAAACCCATTGTTGTGTTCCTCAAACCATTCTTGAATCATATTTACAATGTGGTAGGGCCCATTATCCTGCTGAAAGAGGCTACTGCCATCAGGGAATACCATTTCCATGAAGGGGTGTACTTGGTCAGTAACAATGTTTAGGTAGGTGGTACGTGTCAAAGTAACATCCACATGAATGGCAGGACCCAAGGTTTCCCAGCAGAATATTGCCCAAATCATTACACTGCCTACAACACCTAGCATGCTGTCTATAGTGCCATCTTTCCCCCAGATAAACGACACACATGCACCTGGCCATCCATATGATGTAAAAGAAAATGTGATTCATCATACCAGGACACCTTCTTCCATTGCTCCGTGGTCCAGTTCTGATGCTCGCGTGCCCATTGTAGGTGCGTTTGGTGGTGGACAGGGGTTAGCATTGGCTCCCTGACCAGTCTGCTGGCTACGCAGCCCCATACACAACAAAGTGCAATGCACTGTGTGTTCAGACACCTTTCTATCAGAACCAGCGTGAACTTTTTCAGCAATTTGAGCTAGAGTAGTTCTTCTATTGGATAGGTCTACACGGGCCAGCCTTCTCTCCCCGCGTGCATCAGAGAGCCTTGGTCATCCGTGCCCTGTTGCCAGTTCACCAGTTTTTCTTCCTTGGCCTTGGATAATTCCATCTGGGATTTGTGTTCAGAAGAGGCAGTGTGTACAGAAAGTTATTAGCACAGCTAGGGATGCACCGATATCGGTATCGATGCCAATACTGGACATTTTCACGAGTACATCTCCTCCTCCTCCTTCCTGTGGAACTCCGCCACCCACTAAACTCTCCCCACAGCCCTGGTAAGACCCCGCACAGCACTGATGAGACTCTGCACATCCCTGGTAAGATCCCACACAGCCCTGGTGAGACCACACACAGCCTCCTGAGACCCTGCACAGCTCTGGTGAGACCCCTGCATGGTCTCCTGAGACCCTGCACATCCCTCCTGAGACCCCGCACAGCCCACCTGAGACTCCACACAGTTCTCCTGAGACCCTCCATAGCACCCCCAAGACACTGCACAGCCCTCCTTAGACCCCACACAGCATCCTGAGAAGAAAGGTTTGACTTTTTGACTAGCCCCCTGAGAACCAAAACAGCCCTCCTGAGACCCAGCACAGCCTCCTAAGACCCTGTACAGCCTTGGTGAGACCCTGCACAACCTCCTGAGATGCCGCACAGCCCACTGGAAACCCCACAAAGCACCCCTGAGACCCCTGCACAGCCTCCTGAGATCCTCCACAGCTCACCAGAGACCCTCCACAGCCCTTCTGAGATCCTCTGCTGGAGACATCAGGCCTGGACTAGCACAGAGTATGTAGCTTCATATTATTCTGCATTGCTGTATAATGTATTGCTGGGATTTTTAGTCCTCTATAGACGGTTGCCATTTGGCATTGCTGCATAATGTATTTCTGGAATTTGTAGCCTCAATAGCTGATGGTATTCTGCATTGCTATATACTGTATTGCTGAGATTTGTAGTCCTCTATAGCCGGTGCCATTCTGCATTGCTGTATAATATATTGCTGGGATTTGTAGTCCTCTATAGCCGGTGCCATTCTGTATGGCTGGGATTTGTAGTCCCTCTACAGTTCGGTGTCAGTGGCGGAACTACCAGGAGTGCAGCATTTGCCGCTGCGACTGGGCCCTGGCACTTCATCACTGTCCTAAAATCATTAGTCTGTATTGTTTTATATAAACTGTCACAAGACACTGAAAAAACGTATCGGTGCATCCCTAAGCACAGCTCATCCTAAGGATGCAATGTCAGGGTGAGTGGTACTGTCTTTGCAGAGGAGCTAGTACTCAGTCTCAGTTCTTATTCCTATGTATGCTAAGCACTCTTTCTTTACACATGAGTATACATATATACTCAGCATAGGCAGGTTTGATGGATGACCACAGATTCCAGCAGGTTTGGATAGCAGATCCCACCAACAGATTAAAGAGCATAGACAACATCTGGTTCACATAGCATCCTTTAGGCCAGAGGTAGGCAAACTCTGGCCCTCCAGCTGTGGTGAAACTACAAATCCCATCATGTCTGTGTCTCTAAGTGTCTTACCTGTGACTTTCAGAGTCTTGCAATGCCTAACGGGATTTGTGGTTGCACCATAGATGGAGGGCCGGAGTTTGTCTATCCCTGCTTTAGGCCCTCACACCCCTTGGTCTCCGTGGTCAGTATAAATGACACATAAGCCTGGAAGCTCTGGGAAGTCTCCAGTCATAAAAAAAGAAAACTGTAAGGATGGCCATATGAGTTCCCAGGAACAGTTTACCACATTCATTGTAACCTCTGTTCTTGCACCACTACATGTTCTGTGCTAAGACTTCCATGATCTCTCTGCAGGGGTTAGATGGAGGCTGCTCTATGGCCTGCAATGCTTCATTGTCTCCTCTTTGCCAAATGACTTTGTACTTTTATGTAATATTATAGCGAACCTGATCTGATAGTATTTTAACAGAACTTATAACATCACAATTGCCTTTGGCAGCATTGCAGCAGACATGAAACAATGCCTCATCAGCAATGATAATTCATTTATACAATAAGGAGAGCAAATGATGAATAAGATATTATTGGCTTTCTTTCTAATTCAACATCTATCGCATGCAAAAAAAATTAGATTAAAACTATTATTAATGAAATTACACGGTGATCACAGAATGATAAGACTAATGAGAAATGGGACTGATTATTCTAATATTTCATATCACGTAATGTAATTAACCAGGGTACAGAACGACATGCAGTTTGTCTTTTATTGTTGAAACAAATTGTTCTGAACCAAATGGCTCAAAGGTTCTTTAAGATTATTAGGTCATTTAAGAAGCGAATTAAGAAAGTACTAGTTATAGAAATTAGAAAACAAAAATTGCACTTATCGTGCAAAATGTTCTGCCATTCATCAAAATCACATGTAATTGTTTCTAAAACTTGTAAGGACTCCACTGAAAATGGTATTTGGATGTGAGTAAAGTGCACCTGTCATTTTGGAGAAAATGAGATCTTTAACCAGTTGACATCCGCGGTGTTAAACCCCCTTCCCATCCAGGCCATTTTTCAGTATTCAGCGCTGCGGTACTTTGACTGACATTTATTCCGTCATGCAGCGCTGTACTGAAATGAATTTTATACCCTTTTTTGAGGACAGATAGAGCTTTCTTTTGGTGGTATTTATTCAACCCTGGGGTCTGCTGATCTCCCGTCCTCCTCCTCCTGACGCCCTCCGAGCCGATCCCGGGCCGCAGATGGGGCAGCGGATCCCGGGACGCAAACGAGCACATATAGTCGATCGGCGGGCTATGGACCCGCTGATCGCCTATATGTGAAACACCCGATACCGGGTGTTCGCATTGGACAGGTCTTTTCTGCACGTGCGTGCCCGCTAGGGGGCGCGCGCGAGCAGAAAAAAAATGCCGTCTGGCGACGGCAAACGGCCAATGCAGCAGTGCCGTCAGTCCGTTTTTCTACTACGGGCGGACGGCAAGAGGTTAAACAGTAGGTTAATGAAAGTCAGCACTCTCTCTCTCTCTCTTAAATAATAAGGTTACAAGGGCTATTTTAAAGTAACACTAAATTCAGAAGTTAAATGTTGAAAATGCATTCAAGTACCTTAACTATTAACAAGAATGAGGGGAATTTATCAAAACTGGAGCAGACAAAATCAGGAGCAGCTGTGCTTCTCTCTTTCATTTTCAAATCTTAACTGAACAAACTGAAGAGAGATACTAATTGGTTGCCATGCACAGCAGCTCCACATTTTGTCTGCTCCAGTTTTGATCAATTCCCCTCATTGTATCTTATTTGTGCATCACTCAGCTGTAGATCCTCAAATCATCTCTGAATTGGTGCCGACACTGTCCTTCCTTCTGGAGGGTGGCTACTTTTGTTCCGCATGGCCCCTGTGTGTGTTGTAAAGTAGTCACCGCTCCAAGCTCGCTCCTGTGATGGAATACAACCTCACGTTTAATTTACTAATTTGTATTGAGATTGTAGTCCATCACAGGAGCAAGCTTGGAAGGCCTCTTTATATCTGACACACTTTCTGCTGTGTGGCATACTTACACCCCTAAGTGATTACTAAAAAAATGTTTTATAACTAATAAAGTGAGTGGAGGATCGGAGCTTATTATTATACAGGATTTATATAGCGCCAACAGTTTGCGCAGCGCTTTACAATATAAGGAAGACATTACAATCACAATACAATTCAAGACAAGATGGTAAGGAGGGCCCTGCCCATGAGGGCTTACAATCTAAAGGGAGGGGCCAGTGATACCTGAGGAGGTAGCTGTGTGGGGATGAATTGTTTGAGAACGTGATGGTTGAGTGGTTAGGTTGAGGTGGGATAGGCTTCCCTGAAGAGATGAGTCTTAAGGGATAGTCTAAAGGCAGTTAGAGTGGGAGATAGACAGACAAGTTGGGGTAAAGAGTTCCAGAGGGTGGGAGAGTCCTGGAGAGGAGCATTGGAGAAGTTGACAAGGGAGCTGGAAAGCAGAAAGTATTTTGAAGAGCAGAGGGGGCGGTCAGGGTGATACTTTGAGACAATGTTTGAGATATAGCCAAGGACAGAGTTATGGATGGCTTTGTAAGTCATTGTCAATATTTTGAATTTTATCCTTTGGGCTATTGGAAGCCAGTGCAGGGATCGTCAGAGGGGGGTTGCAGACAATAAGTGGTTGGTTAGGTGAATGAGTCTGAATGAGTCTAGCAGCAGCATTCATGATTGACTGAAGTGGGTCTGTGTAGAGGTAAGCCAATGAGGAGGGTGTTGCAGTCAAGAAGAGAGATAACAAGTGAGTGGATGAGTAGTTTTGCGGTTTTATTGGTGAGGAAGGGGCGTATTTTGGAGATGTTACGAAGGTGAAGGCGGCAGGATTTAGATAGGGATTGGATGTGGGGAAGAAAGATGAGGTCTGATTCAAGGATGACACCTAGCACATTGGCATGGGGGGAGGAATGGATGGTTGTGTTAACAATCTCAAGGGAAAAGTTGGGGGAAGGTGTGCGGGCGAGAGGAAATATTATGAGCTCAATTTTTGAAAGGTTGAGTTTTAAGAAGTGTTGTGACATCCAGACTGATATGATAACCCAAGTTAAGCAAACATGTTTATCTAATAATATTATAGGGTACAATAGAATAGTTTCATTCCAAAGGAAAAAAATTGCACAATTCCATTCCAACCTTTGATCCACATTCAAATATGAACAAACTAATAACCCAACAGAAATATTGTCAGAAAGACATGAAATACTATCAAAGAAATGATCTTGTTATTAAAATTATGTTGGAAAACGTTGAAAATGTTTTTCTAGAATTAAAGCAAATCAAAATTAAATACCAGGCAAAGCATTCTGAGTGCTGAGGAAGTCTTAAAAAAGGCAATTCCACGTTGACCATAATAAACCAAGGAAAGCACATTAAAAAGTAGGAAACAAAAGGATACAAGAGAGGAAATTAGTAATATCAGGGATCAAATAAAACAAAACATAGAAAAGATAGCATTATGTAAAAAGAATAAATAACAACATGTTTGCACTTGGCAATCTGATTCTTCCAGGAAAGTAAAGCGGACCTTGAGTGAAAAATGATAGATAAAAGCCATAAAAAATGTTACAAAATGTCATCTAGTGGAGATGTAAGCTGAAGCAGGTGTCTCTTGAAGCTCTTGGTATCCTGTGTTTTTATCCGCCTATCTCATCCCCCCATCTCCTTAACTTTTGCGCAAAAATGAGAACTATAGTTTCTGGTAATCTGTGCCTGTTCAGGTCGGTAAGACTCTGGAAAAGTCTGTGAAAGCCTTGTGGCACTCGCTCTGGGAAACCACATGTTCTGGCTCGACCATCATTTCTGCGCATTTCTTCTGAAACAGTGATGCATGCAGAAGCCAAGGGTGATGGCTTTTCATTCCCCGAGCTATATATCCCTCTACCACTTATACTAAGCCCATCCTTGAGGCCATTAAGGGCTGCAATGCCACATTAATGGCAAAGATTGACTACCTAACTACTGGATGCACCCTAATTTGTAACAACCTGGATACAATAAGAGGACACCTATGGTAGAGTGAATCTGGTATCTCTGAAGTGAAGGGTGCCTTTACTTCTCATTCTGCACTCATGACAGAGCTACTATGGACCGTGATGATCCCTTCCACTAAATCTGAAGATGCAGACAGCACCACAACAACATAAGTGTCATTGGTCGGTATCCCTCACATATGTAGTTAAGAGTGCGCACATGATTCCCATAGTCAGAAAAGTGTCTGGAGCTCCACCATGACCATTTCTGGTGCTGTTTCTTAATATCCATGATTGAGATATGGTCTTAGGTGCTAACAGGAAACTCCTGAATTGAAGTACGGAAACGCTAGAATTCTCCTGTTTTCCAGATTTTTCAGAGGAAACTGGGAGAAAGCTCAGAACCTTCACTGAGATGCATCATTGCCTTCATGAAAGGAATCTTCCTATACAGCATGCTTTATCCCAGCAAATGTTGCATTCAGCACAATGGTTCAACCAAGTTCTTTGACACCACATTGGCAGCTAATAACTGGTTGGATTTGTTGAAGTAAGCTGCCTCCATTCTTGTCTAATCCTAAAAGACACTGGCTCCACTAATGTTTTATTGACTAAAACTTTTCCTTCTTTCCCAGAGGCAGTTTGCAGGTTCCTTTACTTAAATCTGACCCATTTACATTGTGGAAATACTATAGTTAGCGGAGTTTAATTATCCTGTTACCCATTTAGTCCCATACCTGTTCCTGTCTCCTGGAAATAAAAGGATGATCCTATTCTTGATTGGAACAATATGCTTCTAGTGTGCACGTGTACCTTTAACAACCTTTAAGACACACACGGTTATGTCCCTTGAGCATTGAACAGGTTTCTTATTTGTGTTTACTTTAAATTAACTAGTAGGGTAACTATATTATTGGGGTTTACGTGGGTTTAAGTTTTGTTCCTCAGTTTGTTTGTTGCTAAGTAAAGCAGCAGTAGCAGTTAACTGGTAATTGTAGTGCGCTGGGCAAGTGTCTTGCAAATCCTGCAGCACCACGTTCACCGACGTTGACAGCTGCTCGTATGCATTTATTATTATTGTTATTATTATTATAATAAAGGATTATATAGCGCCAACAGTTTGTGCAGCGCTTAACAATATAAGGAAGACATTACAATCACAATAAAATTCCATACAAGATGGTGAGGAGGGCCCTGCCCGTGAGGGCTTACCATCTAAAAGGGAGGGGCAAGTGATACATGAGGAGATAGCTGTGTGGGAATGAGTTGTTTGAGAATGTGATGGTTGAGTGAGTTTCAATTCTATGCAGACATATGCGTATAAATAAATGTTTGCACTACAAACCATCTTTTAAGCATATACGATCCTGCATACATTTAAGTATTTTTTTTTACGCTTATGTACAGGAGTCCTTAGTATATGTAAACCCAACAAGAAAATTAACAAAATTGGAATATGTCACTGCTTACCAGCCCTTTGGTTTACATGTGCTTTTACTAAGGATACTAGTGACAGATATGCTTTAAAACATTGCAATAACACAAAGCTGAAACAGAACCTAAAGCTGTGACAGGCATTACCCACTTCAGAAGTTGTACAAGAATAAAATAAAGTTAAAGTGAAATGTACCATTGCCCCTTGGCCATCACTCGGCATAGGGATGGCTAGAGTTCAGTCTAAAATGTCACCATTAATACCCTGCAAGCACATGGAGAGAGAGAAGTGATCACTGTTTGAAATACCCCATACATTAATTGTTCTGGAAGCTCTTACAAGTAAATTACCATCAGAATCCATTTTTATAACTTCACTTTGCTGCCAGCCCAGCTTTGAACCAACTTCTGTCATACCAGTCATACATACAGTATGACAGAAACATAGACAGAGTAGACCAAACAAAGTCTGACTCAATAACACAAAACATCTGTTTTTCGCCATATCTAACAGTTACAAAACACATACCATGATTATAGCATATGGTGTACACCTGCTTTTCCTGACAGCATCTTGGATAAATCTCTACGATGAGAAATAGTGTGCAATATCCATGCTGTTAGGTGCACTCTTTACTATAAGCCTATTCCTAGTTTCCAGCAAAGGCAGCTCGATTTTAAGAGATGGAAACAGGAAAGGGGATCACCACAATAATGATTTCCCTCCTGTGCTCATCCCCTCCTGTAAGCTGCCTAAATACCTTCCCCTCCTGTCCCCCAGTGCTTGAAATATTTTAGGTGCACTGTCCTATAGAGCATGTTTTGCTTAGAGTGCTGGAACTCCCACTATCTGCCTCTTTCTGCCATGCAGTGGAACCTAGAAAGTTAAAGTGGACCTTTACCCCCTTTGACTAAAAATCACACCAGCGTGCAGCTCTGCATGCTGATATGAAATCATCTTACATTCTTTAGTTAAACAAATATATTTTTATTTAACTTACAAATTATTTTTTTTCTATTTCTTGGTCAACTTGGACACAAATTATGTAATCTCACAGAAAGGCATTTACCTCCCCTGAGATGATGTGCATGGTCGCATGCATGGTCGCATGTCCCAGTCACATGTGCCAGAGTTCCAGGAAGTAAAGGGAGATATATTATTCTGCCCTTAGTAAAAATGGCCGCTGTCAGAAGACTGGGGAGGAAAAAGAAAAATAAGGTATGCAAAGATTAAAAAGCTGGCAATTATCTATAACTATATGTTTGTACATTGTCATTACTAAACATGTCTAAAGGCGCCTTTGTTGTTATTTTGAAGATACGGGTAAGCCTCCATTCAAACCTGAGCATTTTAATTGCACATT